GGAGAGAGAGAGACAAAAAAGCAAAAGTTGAGACAGATATTAAATGTTGCACCTGTTACTCTGAGTCGATAGTAGGTGCAGGGCCACTATGAGCAACTGCGATAGCGTGGGCGTTTGTTGTTGTAAGGCAATAGGCCCAGCTACAGTGAGTTTTTTTGCAGTTGCATCACAGGTCTCCTAGCAACCATTTGTGGTATTATCTCGGATGCTCATTAGAAAATCAACTGAGCAAATATGAGCTATTTATACGAGCCGCTCTGCAGACAAAAAAGAGATGATGAATTTAAAAAAATGCTGCTGCTTTGAAAACACGTTTTATATATATATATATATAGTCATTTTTAAGAAGTGGAAGAAGTAAGAGATTTTTCAGAATAAGACTAGAAAAAGCTAGCTAGGTTTTTTTTATTAGCTTCCAATCATTTGATTAAAAGATTTAAAGAAAAGCTTCTACAATAGTAAAGTTGGGTTTCTAGTGACTTTATCAGCTCTGAAAATAAACAAACAAACAGCTGTTTAAAAACAACCAAAAAAATCTGGAGGCAACCAGTCCCTCCTTTGGTTTCGCTAAGTTTTAAGTGTATGAGATTAAAGTAAAAAATTTGAAGTAATAACTTACATCTTTTAAAAGCATTTGTACGATTTCCATTTTGGATATATTTCACAACATTCAAAGAAAACTGTTAAGATGTTCAACTCAAACAAATCAAATCTTATTTCCTTGAACATTTTTGCCTTTCTTCAAGTATATAAAACAAAGTCTATCAGTTAAAATATCCTTTCCTTAAGTAGAAGGTCTGCACATAATTGCAGATATCAGATGGGAAATCTGCCTATTGGATGTCTTGGTCACCGTTCTCCTTATTTGCTGGCATTTATGAGAATAATTGGCAAAAATACCAAACAAAATATATTAATTTAAATCACATAAGACACCGAGGCAGTAGTTGTGACTGTGGAATATCTTAAAAGGAGAAATATGAGCAATTTTCATGCCAATTTAAGGCTTTTTTTTATAATAATTGGCACTGTTACCAATTAGCTGGGACAGATGAAACTGGAATTCTCCATGGTTTTTGTGCCAATAAGGAAAATATACTGAAAATACATCCATTTATTTCAACATTTGCAACCTCGCAGTTGATAGTTTGTCTTTTAAAGGCGTGACGTTGCAGGAAAACGCCGTCCGGCTTCTTTCTAACTGCGTTGCGTTTTACCTCAACTGCTTGGGAATAATTAAAGTAATCAAATCTTACACAAAACTTTCAAGATTAAATTGTTTGGGTGCATCTTAGAGGCTTCAACTTAAATGTTTGGCTTCCAATGAGCAAATTAAAAAAATGATGCCAGAGACATTAAACAAAGGAGAACTACAGGTTTTTTTTTTTGGGGGGGGGGGAAGGGGAGGTTTCACCTAATCCCACTTGAGCTCGTAAATTTCCAGCTATTTAAATGAAAGCGCCGCACTCTCGCCAGCTTAAATTATGAATGCGCTTATAAATTTCACACAACCCCCCCCATTGAAATGTCACAGCCATATTAGATTCATAAATCTGAACCGCACGCTTCCGTCTCCACTAGTTTAGCTTGAACTTCTCCTCTGCAGCCGACACGCAGCAGATGCCTCTGTAGTGTAATTACCCATTTCGAGTTACATTTTTTTTTCTTTTTCACTTTATATCAAATGCAGGCTTTCACAGTGAGACACAGGGAAATGGCAAATTGCCTCCCTGGGGTTTTTTTTTTTTTTTTTTTTTGTTTTGTTTTTTTTTCTCCCCAGTACGAAACCAGGGTCAGACCGTCGCTTCCTTCCGAACGCAAACTGGCGGAGGCTCACGCGGGGGTCACCCATTCTCCTTTATCAGTCGCCATGACGTCAGGGCGGTGCCCTCGGGAAGCGAGTTTTGCGCCCCCAGAGGAAAAGTGTTCTTCAAGGAGAGGCGTGTTTGATTAATCGTATTGTTCCTGTCTGGTTTCACCTTGCCTCGCCGGAGTCACCCTGGACGAAGCAGCCAGAACGGAAGTGCGCTGAATGTAATGAGGCCGGAGCATCCTTCCTTCCTCCCTTTCTCTGCCCCCCCCCCTCCCCCTCGTCCCTCTTTGTAAACGCCACGCTGCCGTGGACAGACGTCTCATTCTCATTCCTGCCGCGTAACAAAGGCCTCTTTCAACGAGGCCGAGCAGAGACCGGGTCAAGTCCCGTCCCCCCACACCCCCCTTGTTCTCCTTGCTCATCATAAGAAAGCTTGTTTTTGACAGAGTGGTGGGGGGGGGGGGGGTAGCTGCATTAGGCTGGGATGACTGACTCTCCGCCCGAGGGTAGCGGAGGCTATTTTTAGCTTCCCGTCTTCCCAATGCTTCCCCACTGGGAGCCAGAAGATAGGAAGAACGAGAGAAGGAGCGGGAGAAAGATAAGAGAGGAGGAGGGGAGCTGCTGGGGAACTAGGCTGCGTTTAAGATTGATGGGGCTTGTTGTTGTGGGTTCCGTCTTCTCTTGTTTGTGCTGTTTTCCGGCTTCGTTTTCAGTCTGCTGCGAAACTATTCGCACCCCGTAGAGTCCCCCACGTTTTTTGCTTCGATGCCGCCGCGGACGCCGGCGGACTTCACTGGGAGTTTGACCAGCAAGCAGACCGATACAAAGTAGTGCAAAGTGGAGTGACACGGTTTTTAAAAAAAAGTTTTTTGTATTCACAGCTCAATACTCCTCAATAAAAAGCAGCCAAATACTCCAGGTTTGTTTCAGGTCTGTTAGAGATCACCATGAAGGCTCCGGAGCACGACTCGTTGTTATGGACACTTTGGGGAGAGAGTTTGCAAGGAAGCTAACCTTGAACCATGGCGGTGGCAGGGTCATGCTGTGGGAGACGATTTCTTTAGCAGAGGACAGAAAAACTGTTAACACTTGATAATAAGATGGATGGAGCTAAATTAATCGACCATACTACAAAGTCTTGATGCTCAATTCCAAGCTAAGCACAAAAATACCAAACTATATTCATACGCTTGTGCAGCCCAGTCAAAGTTCAGACATACATCTAATGTTCTCGCGTGCTTTACATCCAATCAGAGCTGCTTTGCAAAGAAGAATGGGCAAAAACTGTCTGTAGATGAGAAAACCTTTTTGGGACGAATGCAAATTGCAAACAACACAAACTTGCTTGTGATAGACCGTTTAACATCATTGCAAAAATGACAAAAAAAACTAAGTATTTTTGTCTAGTTTCTCCTGCTAATATGTTAGTAGACTAAAAATAAGACAAAACTAACTTGCAAATAACTTTTCAGGAGCTTGTTTGAAGTTAATAACTCCTTAGTATTGATGAAAATCCACTCGCCCCACTGCCATATTATTTCACTAGCTCTTTTTCATCAGTATTAAGGATTTAAATCAACATATCTTCCTGAAAAGATACCTGTAAGCTCTTCTTGTTTTTTATTTTCAAGTGGACTAAGATATTTGCAGTAGAAACTAGACTAAAAAATACTTCAGATTTTTCTGTCTATCACATAATCTGTCCAATCAAACCCATTGAAGCCTGAGGCTGCAACCTGGCAGAACGTGAAACAGATCCTCCCATCTGTGTGCAAACAGCCCTTATCTGCAACCGCGCGGTTTGCACCGAAAGCCAATCCGCTTCCTCCAGCCAGCCGCATGCAAACGCATCCGTCCTCCGCCTGAGCGCGCAAGTTGTACAAAAATAAAAGCAGGGTGGATTTACTCCAAAGCCACAGGTGTCATCGCATGCAGATTCACCTCATTTCCTTTGCAAAAGAAAATTCAATAAATAAATAAATAAATAAAAACCCCGGAGCCGCCCAGACTGGGACTGGAGGGTTCACCTGTGTGTTCTGGACGCACCGCGGGGGGGGGGGTTGCTTCAACTAGGCCCAAAAAAAAAGCAAAAAAAAAAAAAACACTTATGCGAGGGTGCCGCACAATCCGCAGCGAAAACGCATCCTCCAGCTTCGCAGCTAATTAAGCCCGTGTATGTGCGAGGCTATTCCAGAGAGAGTTCCAGAAATAGACGGAGAGGCCGGCCGCCTGTTTTCCGCTCTTTTAATCCTCCAGAGGGGGTTTCACATGTTTTTATTTATTTATTTATTTTTACCTCCAATCCAAAAGGAGTAGTTGCACGTTTGCGCCCCTCAGACGTCTGTGATCAGAATACATATGAAACAGGTGCTTGTGGTTACTAAAAATATTCATTTTCATTGTGATTTTTTGTTTTGCTCCATTCCCCCCGCCCCCCTGTCTCCACCCCTCCTCTTACCTCTTCCTCCCCTCTATCCCTGATGCATCCTCCTCCTCATCCTCATCCTCCGTGTCGCTCTGCTTTTTATAGCCATGTCTTCCCAGGGCTCAGCAGCTACAAAAGCCTTTTCATGTTGCCACTATAATTACAGCCTACACACACGGACATGCATGCATGCATTCACACACACACACACACACACGCACGCACACACCTCTTTTGTGTCTGTATGCGTGTGCGCCGTGCGTGCTCTGCATGTGCTGTTATACACAAAAGGGTGAGCTATTTTTACCTCCCTCCCCTCCACTCCCCTCCCCGCTCCTCTCCATCCCTCTCTCCTCCGCCGCCGCCGTTAGCCACATTTGCTATGCTGAGCACAGGCGCTATCAAGCACACGCCAAAACCGACACACAGGCGCTGATGAGCGCGCTCAGCATCCCTCAGAATCGAAGCTTATCTGAGCGCTCCGCTCCGGTCCAAAGCATCCACCCCTTCCTCTCTCCCTCCTCCGCTCTCCTCTTCCTCCTTCTTCCTCGCCGCTCATGGATCAGGCTGCAGCAGCAGCGTCGGCGCCGCGGCACGTGCTCCCAGCCGTTCAGATGACCTGAAGCCCCCCCTTACTTTCTCTGTTTTTTTTTTTTTTTTTTTTTTTTTAAAGCAGTCGCATCGTCGCCGGCAACCAGCTCCCCCCCCTTGTCTCGATGCTGCGGACCATATTTGAAGCAGAATGTTCTCTTTCTCCCACAGAGGGAATCCTGGGGAAGGAGCAGTCGCTCGAGGTCCTCAAGACGTCGGCGCTCAACCACATCCCAACAGGTTGGACAATCCCTAATCCCTCTGTGTGTGTATGTGTATGTGTGTGTGTGTGTGTTTGTGTTTGTGTGTGTGTTTGGATGTGATTCCACTATTAATGTGCAAAAAAACAAAAAATCTTCAGTTTTCCCGACGCTGTAACTCCTCCAACAGACTCCTCGTGTGTTTTATTTATGCAGTCGGTTATCTCCCCGTGCCATTTTGCTGAATGAAAATCCGGAGCGCTGAAAACTGCCAACATACACAGCAAAACAAGCTATTGTGCAGGTCGCTGGTGTGTTTTGCTGCAAGTTCCTGACTTAGTTTTTGGTCTCAAAACAAACGGAGACGACTTTTTCTTGCTGCCGCTGTCGCCTTTTAGTGTAAAATAATGGGGGGGGGGTAAGAAATGGGGCTCTCTGTTGATGAATTCCCAAAGCATTCATGAGAATAAATGGGTGTTTTGTAGTGATAGTTGAGAAATGAGCAGGAATCTTTTTAGGAGAAACTGGCGCAAGGAAGATGAAGCTGCTGGGCTTCATTTTTTATTTTTTATTTTTTTTATTTTTTTTTTCCGATTCATAAATCCGGGCTCTGGGATCGGCAGCAGACCGGCTTGTTTTCTATACGCCTCTGGCTAGGGTGATGAAATATTGAAATCCACCGGAGCGTCTTCATTGGATATTCTGGAAAGCTGTTGTCTTGGATACGGAGCTGCAGAGGTTTCCGTGTTGTGACCCGAGAGCGTTTTGTTTTTTTCTTTTAAATCTCACACAGGCGGGAAAATGTAGGGTGAAGAGTTTTCCTGGTTTGGGAAGGAATAGAGAAGAGAAGATGGAAAAATGTTTCCATCCACCCACCCATCCACTTTTAAAAGTCATAAGTTAAAACTGAACCTTTGCGTTTATACTTTGGCTGAAAAAGTCCAGGAAAGGATCACTGACTTTGTGAATTGTTGTTTTGCCGTCAACCTTGCCATAACACTTTGGAGCAATAAATTGCTTGTAAAGAAAAAAAACAACAATACTAAAGTTATAAAAAAAAAAAGTGCCGATGCGTTCGTGGTTGCCCTCGTCCCGGTAATCGGATGCCAGTGTCCGGACCGACGGCGCTCTGTTTCTGCAATGCAAAGCTGCGGTCACTGCACCTGCTGGGAGTTACTCCAGTCAAAAGTAAACGGTTTACTTTGGTTAAGTTTGGGTTTCGCACAAAGCAACACAGATTGTTTTAAGAGCATCCGACACGTCGGATGTGCGGCGGGTGGGAGCTCGTGACCGTCTGCCAGGAAGCTCCCATGCGATGAATGCGTCTCCAGTGCGGCTGGCTTTAGGGAGAGCAGGTTTACTGCTGTGCGTTCAGGTGGCGCCCTCTGCCTCCTCCTCCTCCTCCTCCCCTGCATCAGCCCGGGCAGCGAGCTGTGACACGCTCCATTAAAGCCCTGCTGCAGAGGCCGAGAGGGACCGCAGCCTCCAGGTCCCGCTCCCATTCCCACCTCCTTCCTTCTTGCTACAGAGCGCCGCTGCAGAGACGTCGCCTGACGATCGTTAAGGCGGCGACGAGTTGGAGATTGCGTGCTCGTCCCAAAATGGTTGGTTAGAAACGGCTCCTGTCATGGTGGAAGTTCTTAGTTTTGATGCTTTTAATCAAGTGTGTCAAACTCAAGGCTCAGGGGCCAAATCTGGACCACCATAGCTTTTAATGTGGCTCTAGACTCCAAAGAGATGCATAAACCTTCAAGGTAATATTTTATTAATCAAATCAAAGTCGATTTTATCTGCACACTGGCAAATTACATCAATCAGTCTCTCAAATTTTTATGTTTCTGTCACCTCCAAAATTCATTCTTTTGTTGCACTAATGCATAATTGAGTTTGTTGTTTCCACATTTGGTTTAAGTGATGCTAGCTAAGCCTGTCACGATAGCAAATTTTGCAAGACGATAAATTATCCAAGAAAGTTATTTGCGATAAACGATATCGTCTTTTTGAAACAATTTTCAAATACTATAATGGTAATGTCCTAATGACGCAAGAACAGATTCTCAAGTAATTAGTAAACTTTAAATTCTAATGGACATTTCACTCTGGAACTCGGATACATTTTAAATATTCAAAAAAGAAATAAATAAAACAACAGAAACGACAAATAAAAAGGGGCCAGCTGACACCAAAGCAGCAGACGGAAGACATTTGTCATCCAGTTTCTGGTAGAAAGAGAGAGAAAAGAGAAAAACATGCATTATGCAAATGGAAATCATTGAGCTCGTTTTAATTTATCATGCGATTAATTAATTTATTACTTATTTTGATGGACCTAGTTGGTGCTTGATATGGCGAGTAACAAAAAGTTACATTAACCGTAGGTGCAAATATGGCAAAATTATTTGCAAATATTTCTAAATTAGCACCACAAAACAGTGCAAAAACAAAACAGATCACAATCAAAAAAATCCTCGAGGGACTGAAAAGATGTTCAATATGTCATTTTAATGAGTACTTGTTGATCACAAGCACGGCTATTTATTACAATTTTTAAAGGTTGCTATTATATTTTGCAGGCATGTAGTATCATTTCATAGCACAATAAAGTTACATCCAGTTATAGAAACACTGTCTATATCAAATATCACTTTAAAGAAATTTGATTTTGTATTTCAACACCTTGAAATTGGGCTTCTGTCTCTTTAAAAAAGCTCTTTCAGAAGCTCCGCCTTCAGGAAGTCATCACAACATGACTATTCAACAACGTTTTTTTTTACCAGCTTTGCACTGAGCAGTAGCTCCTATAAAGAGCTCAGTTGATGTTCATTTCCACCAGGTGTTTGCTAATTGCTGCTGGCTAGTCTGAAGGAGCAGAGTGAAGTTCAGAAGCTTGAAAACTGCAACTCTGAGGTGGAGCTGCCCCTTAAAGGCCAGGCTACCCCTCCTCCCCATAACCCCAGGTGTTTTGCACAGCTGAATGGTTGCCATGGAGAAAAAATGATTAAAGAATCAAAGCAACACTCCCGGTCTGTTTTTGATGAAAACTAACATTATAACAGGAGGTAAAGCTAAAAAATAAAATAAAGTTGATTTTGCACGATACCGCCCCTTTAACAATTTGTAATGGGTTTTATCAATACATTCCGGAGCAAACGGCCCTTTAAGAATATGAAATGAATAGAAAATATGAATATGAATAGAAATATGAATAGAAAATGAGAAGGAATGTCTCGGTTACTCCAGCAGGAAGCTCCGATTAAAACTGAAACGTGTGCTTTCTGCTGACAAGTCTGAGCTAAATCAGGCTGCAGATCAAAGGGGGGAGCCTTTATTTAGATCCGACAAACTGAAACCGTACCCAGTTGCTGTCAAACAGGTACACTGGCTTCGTTGCGCAAAGGCTCCCTGGAAGCTCCCACGGCTCTCCCCCGAGACGCCGTCTCTGTTTTGATTTTGGCAGCGAAGGCCCCTCACATTATCCTTTATCCCGCGTGCATCAGTAAACAGAGGAACACGCTTGACGTCAGCGCGCGACGACGAAGGGGGCCTGTATCAAAGCGGGTCTTTTCCGAGCAGCAGCTGGGACATTCCCAGGAGCTTCTCTCTTGGCTATTAGAGCCCAAACTCCGCCGGCGTGCGGCCAGTGGAGTTTGGGGTCCCGTTTTGATGTTGTTTAAAGGAGTGGGCTTGTTGATCGTCGATCGGGCAAAATAAGATTTTCGGCCGTTTGATTCGGTTTGGCAATCTGTTGGCATGTGGTTTTACTGTTGTGTTAAAAATATATAAAGAAAGGACAGCAGACATTATCGGATGGTAATAAAAATTATCTTTGCCAGGTTGTAAAATAATATAAATTTAACCTCATGGGTGGAAAAACACAACCGATTCCACCCTGGAGAGATGTTTTGCAACAGAAATGCAAAAGATGCTGCGCCGTCTTGTGCTTTAAAGTTACTTCTGAGGCAGCACTGACAGTTTTAAAGAGAAACAAACCCACAACCGTCCCTTCAGAGCGTTATTTTTGACCTGGCTTTGTCTCCGCAACGATTCTGGCTGCACTCACTTGTAAAAAAGGACTCCGAGAAAGTTAGTTTACATTTGCAGCTCCGCCGCGGCTGGAAGGGGAGAGATTGATCACACTTTTCTGGCCACGCTTTCGGGCCCACAGTTTGCTCAGCGAGTCGCTAAGCCTAACACAGTTTGTGCTTTCTTTAAACGGTATGCTGACCGAACCCCAGATGAACAATCAGGAGAGATCAGAAGCGGGATCTTTTTTTTTTTTTTTTTTTTCTTTTTCTTTTTTTTGTACAGTTTATTACAAAGACCAACAGCTGCTTCCAAACGCGTCACGCAAAACTTTCCGTCGGAGCTGCTTTTAAACCTCCGATTGACAAAAGCGCGTCGCTGCGAATAGAACGGAGTGGGAAAACTCCCCCGCTCTGTTTCACCCTGAATCCATTTTGCTTGTTTATCTGTTTGGGGAGGGAAATGCAGGCAAATTCTGTGCCGGGAATACCAAGAGAAGAGGGGGGGGGAAAAAAAAGGGAAAGGCGTTTGTTGTGATTTTGAGTTTGGGATGGGAACTGCATGAAGTGAGTGGGAGAAGTGTGTGGGGGGGAGGCTAAAAAGGGATTTCCTCGGTCTTAGGAGCAGGGAGAGCGGGTTGAGCAAGGCGAAAAGAGTAGAGAGGGTGAAGAGAGGGAGTGCTGCGTGTGTGTGTGTGTGTGTGTGTGTGTGTGTAAAAGAGAGAGAGAGAGAGAGACGCTGGTTCCTGGAAAAGCTGCAGAATAAACAGGCTGCATGCCTGAGACTGCCCTGTGATGTCATCACTGGGCAAGCCGGGGACGAGGGGAGGAGAGAGAGACGGGAGGGGAGGGAGACACCCATCAGGTTAAGACCGGAGCAGGGGACGACAGAGACAGAGAGCATGAGGACAAGTCAGACGAGCACTGCTGTCATTCCCCCGTAACACACCGAAAGAAGAAGAGCAGAAGAGGAAGAGCAGGAGGAGGAGGAGGGTGCATCAGTGAGGAGGAGAGGACGAAGATGGGTAACGACACCACTGACTTCTTTCTGTAGCTCCCGCTTTTCATCCGGTGAGCAATTAGCGCCGCCAGGGTGGCGGAGACGCCAAGCGAGGTGTGTTTACGGATCCGCATGCGTCGCCATCGAGTAGTGCAACGTTTCAGAGACACCTCCCCCTCCACTCCATGAACATTTTGTGACGGTGGAGGGGTTTTTTTGGAGGGGGAGGGGGTAAAGTGAGTTATGGATTCACATTAACCAAGAAGGCTGCGGCGCAGCTCTGACAAGTGCAGGTCTAACCCATCCTTCCTCGTTTCAGCTTTTCCGTCGTCCCCAGAACCAATGTTTCCGATTGCTTTGCTTTTCTACCTGTTTGTCCCTAAAGGGCTTCAGATGAGGCATTGATTTGCAACCTTAATCTGCAGAGTGACTCATGCAGAATCAGGTGGCGCTATATTAGACTTTAATGGAGAGGCAACGGGAAAATTGCTGCCTACTGAAATCAGACAACTTTAAGCTTGATCAGCTCTAACCAGCAACTGGGCTGTTGAAAAGGAAACTCAGATATTTGAAAACGTCCTACCTTGGTGCAAAGAAGTGAAAAAAAGTCATTGTTAGCTGTGTTTTAAACTAAATATGTCGAGACATGTTTTATGTTAATTCAGGCTGTGAGAAGGCAAGAGAGAGCAAGACATTATTATTTTAAATGGAGTTCTCATTTCTAAAATTGTAGAATTTAAAGATAAATGAGACATAATTGGTGGTAACAGGTCAAAGTTTTACCGAAATTGGCATCTTTTGACCCTAAAAGTAATTAAATAAAATAAAATAAAATAAAAAAAACAGATCTTTTTCCTAATCTTGAGTAAATCACACTTAAACTCTACCAAGTTGCATTGAGAACGCCGCTCTGCAGTGTGGAAGGTAAGGGAAGCACTAATGTGTTACTAGTTTAAGAAGCTATATAAAGGCAAACTGTTAAGACGTGTCTGTGGTTCATTTAGGCTGCGAGAAGGCAAGAGAGCAGGACTTCAGCAACTAATAAAGTGTCTCTGTTTCAATCCTTTTAGACGATCAACTTCTCTGTTGTGAAACATGCTGGATTTGGAAATGTTGGGAACCTTTTGCAAACCTTCAAGCTACATTCTGTTGGAAATACATACAAAGACTGTTTTTAGTAAAGCTAGCATAGCTATCGTAAATATTTTCCGACACTAAAGACAGTTTAAAATTTGAACTCCAAGTAATTACATTTTCTTTATGGTAGTAAATCCCTTCTTGACAGTGACAGATATGTCTCGCACACAGTGTGACGTCGCTTCTACTCCGATTTTAAAGAATTAATTTGTGCTCGCATCCAGAAGAAAGAAATAACATGCTCAAAAATCGACCAAAACATTCCACTTGACTCATCTCTTCAAAGCTGTTCTTTTGATTTTAAAGTTTCTTTTATAGAAGTCAACTAAAATTGACAGTTTCAGATCTTTATTTTTATTTTTTAAATGATGTCCTTTGACCCTAAAAGTCATGAGATAGGCCATTGGTTCCCAACCTTAAGCTACAGAGTGACTCATGCAGATTCAGGTAAAAAAAAAAGCTACCGCAGACTGAATGAGTCAGAGGGTTTAAAAAAGAAAAATCTACCAATTCATAGTTTCACACAACTCCTCTTTTCTTATAAAGCTCTCCTTTCTCTCATCTTCTCATCACGTGTCAGATCGTAGGCTCCCTTTCAATTAGTCCCAGCAGCAGCAGCAGCCTATGAGACGTGTTGTAATCTTCCCCCACATGACTGCAGTCCTTTAGGACCCTGTTGCATGTTGTTGTGCTGTTCTCCTGCAATAACCGCAAGGGGGGGCGGGGTGGCATTTCACCTGCTGCACACAGTGAGAATCAAGCATTTCAGCATTCAGGCACCATATGGCCTTAACAGTAGCAAAGCTGCTTGGATGTGCAATTACAGTTTGGTGATGTTCAGGAGGAGGGGGGCGTAAATGCATCAAACACGGAACATCCCGCAGCAGAAGCAGAAAGCAACTCAAAGTGTTCGTCAGTTCAGCTCACCGCTGATGTTTTGTTTGCCGATTCATTAACGTGAAGTGTCCCTGGCTCTCCGCAAACATTGTAGGCAAATAATCGGACCAATCGGCTCCTGTTTGTCCAGACTTATTGGTAGGAAGCCGGCGGATTGGTGGGCTTCCTGTGCCCCGAGCCAGGGGTTTTGGGGCAGAGGGGTGAAAGGAGGTGGAGAGGAAGGGTCAATGCAGGCTTTGTCGGATGGGTCAGCGAGTGCTGTGTGGAAGAGCAGCACAGCACTTTTTCTTCCCAACAGATCTTATCAGGATTTTACCAAGTTTAAAGATAGCTCTCTTGGAACTGGTGTTACTTCACCAACATTTGTGACGCTCATTAAAGAACAACTTTTTTCTCAGAAATGGCAACTAAATCCAAGAGCTTTAATCCGACGGTCTGATTTACAGCTCCGTTATCCGTTTATTGCTTTCTTGTTTTACAAGCGGTCTATCTAATGTGCTGCTTAAAATAGCCAAGTCATTTTTTTTTTTTTTAAATTATATATTCCTCCCATAAAAGTGAAGGAGCGTGAAAAGTATGGGAGACTTTTATTTTGTGTGTGTGTTAATTAAAGAAAATCTCAAAGTTTAAAAAAAAAAAATTCTCTTCCGGGCATTTTTCTAAGAGGTAGACTAATTAAATAGCCCTCGTGAAGTGCTTTGATTTAATCCACCCTCAGCTTCATAACCTTGAAGTTGCGCTAAGTATGAAAACACACGGCGGCGTGCAGAAGAAGAGGAACATGTCTGCTCGCATGTCTTTTAACCTTGTGCCGTGTTTTGGTTATTCATCCTGCTCCGCTTGTCTTGCTTTGGCGTCAGAATGTGCTTCTGTTGTTGACACAAAAGTTATGAGTGCATCCTATTTAGGAAACTCGGCCTCGCTGGTATAAAACACTCCTGCAGGAGCTCATCTTTTTTTTGTGTGTGAGATGTATCAATAAAATACTCAGTAATACAGGTTTTAGTGCAGGACTTTAAATTTTGATTCTGATTTTGTTTATTAAGAGGAAAAAAGGCTGATTCAAACCAGCCGTGCCCTTAAGGTAACAGTAATTTTCCTTCTTATACCAGGAATTACCTGTGATTAGACGCAGTTTGTGAAGAGATAAGTTAAATTTCACTCACACACCCAGTTTTGATAAGAAGTAAGAAATCGCTGAAGTAGGAGCTACCTGGCAACACGAAGTAGGCAGGAAATAGGAAAGACTTTACGTCATCGCAACAACCTTTCATTATCCATCCATCCATCTGTTTTATCCCTCCATCTCTCCACCTGTCTGATGGTTCCTATTCTTCTCTCCTCTTCAGTGGACATTAACTCTGCGCTGCCCCTGCGTCTGCCCCCTGCTGCCATCCCCATGGACCTGCGTGTGGACCACCACCACCACCAGCAGCAGCACCAGCAGGTGTCGTCGCTCTCCCCGACGGGCCAGCTCTCACCCAGCTCCCTGGGAGGATCTGGTGGCGGTGGCGGTGGTGGCGGTGGCGGTGTGGTGGCGGCCTCGGTGCGCGAGCAGCAGCTGCAGCAGGAGCTGCTGGCCCTGAAGCAGAAGCAGCAGATCCAGAGGCAGATCCTGATCGCCGAGTTCCAGCGGCAGCACGAGCAGCTGTCCCGCCAGCATGAGGCCCAGCTCCAGGAGCACATTAAGGTACATCATTTACAATTAGCATTATTTATGGAGCAGCATCACCCGTTTTGCAGAAATTCATTGAAAGGACGCAAAACAATAAGAACCTATGGAGTTTTAAATTAGTCCAATTATTCCACATAAAACCAACGGTCTTGCACACCATCGCTATTTAAATCTCCTCCAAACCAAACGAAGACGGCTCTTAATTTATTCAGCCTCGGGAGTCTTCGATAACAGACTGAACTCAGCAGCTAAGAGCAGCCTCATCAGCTTTAAATGGCTTCAGTGCAAGCAGAGAGTGAGAGCAGAAACAGAAAGGCACTTTAGCTTCATTTTCTTTAACTCCTCGGATGGATGAGGGCAATATAAAGATGTGTCTGGCTGCAGGAAAGAGTGTGAGAAATGGATGTGTGAAGCTTTCCTTTAAATGATTAAAAAGCTGGAGTTGAATTTAATTAGAGCCGAGTGGATCCTACTGTCTTTCAGCTCTTCTAACGTACCGAGTTTCATTCGTTTCCACATGAGCGTGCATCACTTTGTGGCGTCACACGTCTATGGGAAGTGCAGAAGCAGAGAAAGTTTTAATACAGCAGCATTTGTTTTTCTTAAAATAGATTCAACTCGGTTTGTTTGGAGGGAAGATAAATCTTTAGCTTGACTTTATATTGCTTCTTTATTTTAGCTGCCTTTGACATTTTTTGTCCTTTCATGCTTTCATGTCTTTTTTAAATTAAAAGAGGTGAATCTTTCAGATTTTTTGTAGAAAAAAAAGAAGATTTCTTCCTCATCATCATCATTCTTTGTGACTCTATCGTTCTTCCCGTATTCCTCACTGATCTCTTGTTGTTTTTTTTGCCACTTCCTTCCTGTCATTAACTTCTTCTTTCCATTAACGTCTTCCTTTCTTCCTCCTGTATTTACTCTCTTTCACTTATTCCTCCCATGTTCTCTTTTCATACTTCCTTAAATCCTTTTCCTTCGTTTTGGAAATTTCTGGGGGGTTTTGTCATTGTACTTCTCTTTTATTGCCAAATCTGTGCAACTTTTGCTTCTTCATGTGTTTTTACACTTTTTAACTGTAATTTTTCTTAAAATAACATGCTTTAAAAAGTAAATAAGTACAAACAAACAAAAATTTATAGAAACAGAAGTGTTGCATTGATTGCATCTCAATAAATGAAAAGTTTAAATAACTAAATTCAGGTGAAACTGATATAGTAAGAATGTATTTTTTGTTCATTTTTACAATTATGCCATTTGCACCCTCCACAAGGACGGTAAAGCACTTAAAGTCATTGCCAAAGAAGCTGAAAGTTTAGTGGAAAGAAAAAGTGTGGCAGAAAGAAATGCATAAACAAAGACAACAGCCATAAAACCAAAAAGGTGCATTAAAGCAACAGAATATTTCTTTTGGACATAGTTATGATATATTACATTTGTGTGCCCCCTTGTTTAATTGTGGCCCTGGGCAGCTGCCCATGTGGCCCGTATCAAAAACTGATGCTGACCAGAGCCAACATCAGAATCATCTCACAAATGTACTTTTTGGCAAAGGCGAAGCAGTTATTTGCAGAACTATTTTATTAAAAAAGTCACAGGTTCGCTCTTTGTTATTGGTATGTCGATTTAATGCTCTATGTGTCCCTGGTAGGACCGTTAATAGCTACAGCACCCTCTATATTTACCACCATCTCCTAAAAAAAACAAAAACAAACTTTAAATAATTTTCAGTAGCATAACCTGAACCTGAGATTATTCCTTCCAGGGTTTCCCCCAGAAAACTTGCTAAGCCTGGTGGGCTAAAAACAACAAATTTGCACTTCTGTTTAATTCAAATTAAGTCAGCAGCTCCATCAGGCCCCCCAAGAGCTTCAAGGGCCCCATAAACACTAATATTTTAAAACAGACCACAGATACATAAATTTAACACTTGTTTATTGAGATGATCAATGCTGTTAAATTTGATTCAATTGTTTAGGCATACATAAATTATTTTAAATTGTTTAACATTTAAATACAAGATTTTAAGAAGCTGGCAAGTTTACTTTGTAAAACTTCAAAGAACAATATTCATAGTTAGATTTTTTTGTTATTATAGCAACAATCTGATGCTGTGAGTTTAATCTTTGAATTTACAAATACAAATTAGTAAATTGCGATGATAACTTATTGCTTTTTAGGCTGGCCAATTAAACTACTCCCTTCTCCCATATTTCACTAAATCTAACACAGAAGCTGTTAGAGGTGCTGATATTTTTAGCAACAAAAGGGGCCCCTAAGTCAGATTCTGCTCCAGGCCTCATGCAGCCTTGGACCGGCCCTGCATGATGAGATAATCTGCTGCACTACGCAGAGATGCGCAACAAACGGGAGATTTAATTCAATGCTGCTAATGTGGCTTGAGTAGCTCTTCCATTTAGTGTCTGTTGAGTTTTTAATAAGCGTCACAGAAACTATTCTGGTTGGTCGAGTTTATGGGACGAGTTTCTCAGATCTCCTGCGGCCGCGCGTATTAACTCTAAGTAGACAATGCATTTGATATGGTTTGATGCATCGTGTAACCGGAAAAATAATACTAAAAATAATAATAAAGTAATATAAAATCAGCATGATGCGTGACTCCGAGGAGAGCGTTAAAGCTCCTCACCGGGCTGAACTGCATGATGAGGTTAGCGCTGCTCATCCACAAACGCTCCGGCCAACCGGGACCACAAACATAAACTTTGCAGACAGACACAGAGCCACACGCTGGGCAGCGTGTTGAGATGTAAACGCCGCATATAATTGTTCGTTCACAAAGATAAATCATTCTCACCACTCCACAACGCACCTCCGAGTTCGCCACAACTTTTTCCTGCGGTTCACATTGAGCTGCGCAACCAGAGCTAACGCGGCGGGCTTTAAACTCTTCCCTAGAGTTCTCCAAAGGATCATAATTCCTCACAGTAAGTTGATGTAAATATCCATACAGGTCAGCCTGTGTCCAGTTTGAGTGAAAGGAGGCGTGAGCGATCCCGCTGAGGTAAAGCAGCGGCAGCGCGCGAGGCAAAGCGCAGAGGCGCCAGCGGTGTGATTGGTCCACGCTGTCGGGTTTTAAATGCATAAACTATAAACCTATTATAAACCTATCCTTTAGGAATAAATCTGCTCTGCTAGTGAAATGCTAAGAGCAAAAGAGACGCTTGCAGCCCGGCTTTAAAAAACAAACAAAAAAAAAAGATTTTTTTTTTCCTTTCTTAGAAACGTAAACAAGCAACGCTTTGCCTGGCGGCGGGGCTAGTAAAGCATGGCGGGCCGCCAGGCTTAGAATACACTGGAGGAAACCCTGCCTTCAGTTCCTTCCTCTAAAAATCTTTCATGTCGCTTATACTAATTGTTACTGTACGTTAGAGGGGATAAACTGATCCTCATTTAAGCTGTTCATAACACTTCCTGTTTAGTTTTATTACACAGCAAGAAAATAGGTGTGGATTCCTCATAAATGCTGCTAGTAAATATCCAAGTGGCATCTTCTCTTGTCTTTCCCATTTTGAACAGTGCATAAAATGACTCAAATTATGCCTCTTAAATAAAAGCTGCTAAGTTGTTGACACTAAGTGAAAACGAAAACAGCGCCACTGTTCGGATTTTTTGCCGAGCAACAAAATTAGACACTAAAGACAAATCAATGTCGTTGGTTTAATCTTCTCCCTTAAAACCGCATCCTGCTCTCCTGTCTCCTGTACGTCTTGCCTCTCTGGCTTAAAATTCCGCGCGCACACACCGTCCCTGTTAAGACCTGCCAAGCACAGTCCTGCCTCGGTTTTCGTGACGCTTTGGTTAATGGGCGCTGCCATCTAAAGGGTCCTCTTGGCTTGCGGTCTGAAGCGGCGGGACAGCTCAGATGTTCGTGACGCACGGCTTCAGCGTGGAGCCCCCCGGCCTCAATCACCTCTATTCACCGGGCGTACACACACACACACACAAACACAAAACACACACAGAATTGCCTTAGAAAACATGAAAACGTACACATCCTCTTAAATTTCATCAAAACGTTTGCCTGCACTCGCTCGTCTGCGTTTGCGGGTGGCAGAGAAATCTCCTGCACAAGTTAGGAGGGAAGGATGTGCACGGCTCTGGTCAGCCGAGCCGCAAGGGGTTTTGGGTGTGTAAGTGTCCTGTGTGCATGTGGGCGAGGAGGTCCCGCCCACTAAAACCCCTCTTCCCTCTTCCCCAACCTCGGTTTGAAGTCAAAAAGTGATGGCTGGCTGCGCTCCAGAGAGCTCTTCCTCCTCTCAGCCCCAAGCCACTAATTTATTCACAGCCTCATTTCGGGGGTCTGATTTGGCCTCGCCGCAAACACAGGTTCACGTCTCTGCCGCAGAATGCCTGACTACAGGGTTTGCAATCCGGATGATTACATGCCATCGCTGTGAACCGATCAAATATAGGTCACTAAACAAGCTGGGAGCATGGATCATCCATCCATCCATCCATCCATTTTCTTACACACCTATCCCATTGGGGTTGGGAGGGGTGCTGTGCCTGTCTTCAGCTGTCAATGGGTGAGAGGCGGGACACACCATGGACAAGGGACCATGGATCATGTTGAATGTTTATAAATGACAAAACTGAAAACTTAAAAAAATCATAGGGACCACAGGGATCCAGAGCAGAACAAAAACAGGAACCAGGAACAAAAAGCAAGCAGAGTATCAACGGTGGGAGTAACCAGGATATGACCGGAGGAACCAGCGAGGACTGTTCGTTCACAGTGCTTGAGTTTAAACACTGTGAGGTTAAATTCTGAACAAAGACCTAACTAATTATAGAGCTGGGTTGCAGGTGTGAGGAGAGAGAGAGAGATAAAGTGGCACGCGGGGTGAGGGAAAGCAACTAAGGGAAATAAATCTAACACTAAATATCAACTGGAGCCAAGAAACATAATAAACTGGAGTGACGAGGAATAACTAAACGTAACAAGAAACACTAAGAATGACTGAACTGAAGTAAGTAAAACAGAAAGTAATCAAAGAAACTAAGTAAAACAGAAATGAACAAAACCCAAATCCAACTCAAACAACACAAGATCCCGAAAGTTCATTTATTATTTATTTTATATTGGCTGTTATCCTCCCAGTTGCACTGAGTGAACAAATTAAAGTTGTGTTGTTTTTACATGTTTGACCAACCTTGTGATGCTCTACTGGTACAGTTATGACTGTGTTTAAAAAAAAAAAAAAGTAAAGTTTTTAGTCAGTTCAGCTGTTTTTCAACATCCGATTATCATCAACCAAAACTAATGATATCAGAATCGTAATTGAAAAAAGTGGATCGGTGCAACTTGAGAAATGATGTTGATATTATGACATTTTGTAAACACTAAATTCAGTTTTCAAAAATGATTCACTTTATTCAGAGAATATAAAAACTGACGGTTTTGGAGTAGCAGAGTAAAAGTTTGAACATGTCCATCAGACCCTTTTTAATGGCTCAGTTAACTCTGCAGAGAAGAGTCGACCAAAATTCCTCAGGAAAAATTAATTCTTTAGTTACTCTTGGTGTCAGTTGTGGCTCAATCAGTCATCAGGTTACTTCCTCTCACAGTGAGGTTGCTTTAGATACCTTTTTTAAAAATCTTCAATAGTCTAAATCATTATTTAAAAAAGACTTGTGCTTCCTCAGGTTGTCTCGGTCTTGCTATCAGGGAACGTTTGTGTCTCTAATAGCGGCGTATTGTTGATCGCAGAAGCTCATTTCGGTGCTGTTTAATTGGCTGCTTTTATGCACAGTGACTCTCAGCGAGGGTCCCCGTCTGGTTTTTTTTAAGGACCCTTCAGCGTGATGAAGAGGAGGCAATCGTGGGCACGTTGTAGCTTTGGAGCTGATTTTATTCCTGACCTTTTGGTTGCAGGACAAGCTGTCAGGCCACAGATTGGTTTTTAGCGGAAAAATAAAGAAATTTACTCTCGAAGCCTTTTTAAATGAAAAAAAAAAAGAAAAAGATTTTTTACAGCGCGACGAGGAAGTAAGCAGATTGGATTATGTGTTTTGCTAAAGCCTCGTCCCCAGTTAAATTGCTTATATTTGTTTAAAGGCTAAAGCTTTTGGCCTGAGGTTTTTAGAGGAATTGCAGAGGTTTAATTTTATGGCTTTGAACAGCTGTCAGAGTTATTTACTTCAGAGAGAGCAGAAGTTGAATGAAAATACTTTTTTCAAAGCGAGAAAGGCAGCGAATTGAATCTGTTCTGAAGAGAGCTCAAACGAGGCTGTTACGAAGAAAGCCCTTCTCCATTTTTTTTCTTTTCTAACTCACAATATTCCTGATGTTTCTTTGTGCAGCAGCAACAGGAGCTGCTGGCCCTGAAGCACCAGCAGGAGTTGCTGGAGCACCAGAGGAAGATGGAGAACCACCGGCTGGAGCAGGAGCTGGAGAAGCAGCAGAGGGAGCAGAAGCTGCAGCTGCTGAAGAACAAGGAGCGGGGCCAGGAGAGTAAGTCGCTCCGACGCCGCGTGTTTCCCGTCTGCGCGCGGAGCCATGGAAACGCCTGATGTTTGTGCAACGTTTTCGTGCCAAAAAATATGCACGACCCTTGAGCTTTTTCCACTTTTTGTCGCATTAGATATTAGTTGAACCATTAGATATTTTATGTGTTTAATTGTGGACACGGAAGGACAGGAATTGAAGTTTTAGAAAACCATCAATCCCCCGCGAAAAAGCTTTTTTTTTTTTTAATGTTTCAGATCTACGATGATTGCAGATCAATTCACAAGAAAAAATATGAATACTTTATAAAATAAACATGTACAAAAAGTCACAGTGAAATTAGTTTTTTGTTTTTAAAATTGTTTAAATGACATTTTTGTGGCCCAAGAGTAAACGTATCATGTGTTTGAATGGCATATAGTTAAAGCCCAAATCTACATCTTACTGCAAATTTGTGGCAAGCAACACAGCACCGACTCAGGAGAGGAAAATACAAATTCATGCCACACTTTTAAGATTGTGTGCAAGAATCAGATTCATTTTGTCTTGTTTAAATATTTCACGTTAGGTTTGTTCTTCAAACTGTGAGAACAAATGACAAGAAAAATGTATTTTGTGTGTTAGAGTGGGCTAGTCAAAGCCTACATTTACATGTTCTCGGATGCTCTCCGTCCGATCTGACTGAGGTTGTGTTCTTTTGCAAAGAAAAACAGGCAAAGATTTTAGTTTCTAGATCTGCTAAGCCGGTTCAGATTTACTCCACAGACTGGCAGCTGTAACTAAAAGGTGCTTCTGTCTCAGAGGTGATGAATACGACTTCAGGTTGTGGTTCTCCAATTAGTGAAATTATCGCAAAAGCACCATAAGTGAGGCGAGATTAGAAGCAGCGGGAGAAACTTCATTAAAAGATTTGACACCTCTCGTTACAGATTCTGTCTTTTAGCACTAAAACAAGCAAAACTAGACACTTCCGCGGCTAAATAGCTCCGTAAATAGTTCTCCGTGTCAGACGGGCTGCAGGCGGCCAGGCTCAGTAAGAGCTCCTCATTCAAGCCGTTCCAAGGTTGAAATAACTGTTGTGTTTGCCTCACGTGCGTTTCCATTTCACTCGGAGAGGCGGCGCGCTCTGCAGTGGCGAACGAGTGGTAATACCCCGGTGGCCTTGGCGCGGACCGGGCCGAGCTATTACCTCTGGACGTCTCTCTCAACAAGTTCATTGAAAGCAAATGGACAGGCGTCCTTGAGAGAGCGCGCCTTCTCGCACTCTATGGAAAATGTTCAGGGATCGGGCGAGCAGGGAGTCAGAGGGTTGCTGTGTTTGCTCCCGTGTGTGTGTCTGTATGAGTGCGATGTGTGGCGATGGTGTCTTCAAATCTCTCCGATGAGTTTTGCATCATTTTTGTTTAATTCCTTGTTTGGTAATTAGTAAATTTCCCATTTGATGATTGTCTGTTTTTAATCCTAGATCCAGAAAATGTCTGCTGCATTTCACAAATAGATGACTCCACTGATTTTAAATCAATGAAATAATATTTTACCTCCTAGATAAGTTTATGTCTTCTTTATTAAATGTAGGGGAATAAAACAAAATTGATAAAAAGCAGAAATACCTAGCTGGAATGCTACTTTCACGCTGTTGGCTAACGTTTGCGAAGCAGCCAATCCAAGAGTTCCATTTATTATACTTGGCATTGATTGGCTGAATGCCATAGAGTGGAGATAAGGAAGACTAGATGATAGCCACTGCTAAGACGCTTTCTAAGATGTATTTGCTGTTTGAAATATTAAAATAAAGAGTTACTAATGTTTTTAGAAGGGATCTCAAGTATTGACGAATTTTAAATACAAGAAATTCATTGCCTCTTGTATTTGCCCTGTGTTCATCAGGTGCCGTGGCCAGCACCGAGGTGAAGATGCGTCTGCAGGAGTTCGTCCTGAACAAAAAGAAGGCGCTGGCCCAGCGGAGCCTCAACCAGGGCGGCCTCCCCAACGACGCCCCCTACTGGTACCGGTAAGACGGCTTTTCCATTAACCGTCACCTGATCGGAAGCAGCAGAAAACAGTGGACTGACAGCTAAGTAATGACACATGCTAATACCTGCTCTGTTTGAGTCTCACTGAGTGATCAGAGGCAGAAAACAAACGGGCGCAGACGTGAAAGTGAGAGGAGGATATTGGATCCTGACGACGGCTGAAAGTCCTTGGAGTTAATTGTAGCATTCCTCGATCCGTTTTGCAGGTGTGCACACTTGCCATTTCCGATTTGTTTGCCGCGCGTCGGAGCGAGCATAAACACAGCAAGGTCGCGTCGACTGGAGCGTTCATTATGCAGTAGCATACATCGGTAGATTGAAAGATACGCCAGTGAATAAAATCAGTGCAGGTTTAGCTTTTCTGCTTGTGTCGCAAAGTAAAAACACAGGTGAAAGGTGAGATTATTTATCTCCCTCTTGTTTCCGTTTTTTTTTTTTTTTTTTGTCTGTAGTCTTGAACCTTTTTAATGCTTGTGTCAGCTGACAACACATTCGTGGTCGAAGCAAGAAAATATTACTTTTGAAATTAAATGAAGACGGTTCAGGACCGCCTGCGTGGTCCTCGCGACATCTTCCCACTTCTCTGACGTCTCCGAGGAATAAATATAGCCGGAGAATGTAATTTATTCTCGTTTGAATCTATTTCAAGACAGTTTTTCCACTGTGTCAGGAACTGCAACATTAATATGAAAAAGAAATGGAGATTTTTGACATGACATGCAAATAATAATAAAAAAAAAATTCTGATTTTTATCCCCAGTTGACAAGCAAAAGGACAAGAAATAGCATTTTTAATGATCCCTCTTTACTCAATATCAGCAAATAAAAGTTTTGAAGGAAATAAAATAAGGGTAAAAAATTAATTTGAGTGTGAAATACAAATTCAATTTTTTTTTTTTAAGGTTTAACAGTTAATTTAATGTTTTTTGGTATGTTTTTATGATCTGAGGATCCACAGGACTCTGTTTTGGGCCCTCTGGTTTATGACTTCACCTTCTGCCAGCTGTAAGGTTTTAATTTTACATTTTCCACAATGATCTACCTCTACAACTATATAGTGTTTTTTTTTGTAAAATGACACGACTAAATCCATAAATTACAAATACAGTAGAGAGAATAAGCAATGTTACGTAATACCGTTACGTAATACACCGTCTGTGTATTTCTGACTCTGCTCCTAACTTAAATATGAACTCCTTCACTCTGGACTCAAGCCTCCCACTGAGTTCTGGAAGAGACAACTGCGTTACCCTCTTGTCAGGAACATGCATTTGGGCCAGATCCAAACGCGGCTTAAGTTTTTCCCTACAAACGACACTTTGTACTGTAGGAAGCGAGCAGATGGCGACACATGTCCGCGTCCTTGCCAAGCAATTTGCATGACGCCTTAATCGTTTAAGTCCACGAGAACGAGATGGTTTCTTTTCGACACACACACCGTTGATGATTTCTGGTTTTATTGTTGTTTGTTTTTTTTGTTTTTTTATTGCAGAAAAACCCAGCATAGCTCTCTGGACCAGAGCTCGCCTCCACAAACCACAGTGTCCACCTACAATCACCCGGTGCTGGGCGTCTACAACCCTCGGGACGACTTCCCGCTGCGAAAGACTGGTGCGTTTTTTTTTGTTTTTTTTTTGCCAAACTCCCTAGTTTCACCGGTGAAGACCGGCGTATCTGCTGCATGCATGCTCACACAGAAGAGCTGCGGCTGCTAGCTGCAGTGCAGACTCATGTCTGGCATATTTTAGACAGCATCAGAGGTCTGCTCCATTAATCACATCCACATTAGGCTGTCAGGGTCTCCAAGCATCCCCCACATGAGAGTGTTAAAGAGTTAGTGTAGGTGGTAGTGGAGCACAACAGAGAGAGAGAGTTAAGTGGGAAGAGAATCATGATTTTGTTACCTGATTTATTTTAAAGATGTCCTTCCAGAATTCTTTGAGTTTTTGGAAAATGTTTGTCAGTCTTTAGCTTGATGCATAAATGGATAATAGTTCTAATATTTTAGCAAAACAAGCTTACTGGACATGAGACGTTTTGTGGGACACTGATCTCTTACAGTTTAATGGTTATGACTTGAGGTCTTTGCTTTATGAAATACTTTCAACTTTTTACTAATGACAGATATCTGAGAATAAAACCAAACTGTCTTTAGAGCTTCTTACTTTTATTTTTTCTTTGAACCAATCTTCAGTAAGCATACACCGATCGGGCTTTTTGAAGCCGATACCGATTTCTGATCATTCGTGCTATTTCAGATTTTGGTCAATTCTGTTTTTTCTTTTCAACATTAGCTTTATAAGATAATCTTAGTTAATTTGTTTCAATTAAAAAAAAATGTAGGTGTTTACTCTTCATGCATTTCTACTTCTTTCCATTTTTGACCTGCTAATGGTTGAGCCAATCAATTGAAAATCATGTTATTTTGATTAGTGGCTGATTGCCGCATCATTATACTTTCTTTTTAAGATAACCAAGTATAGAAACATCAAAGATTACAGTTATTGATTTACCGATATGAAAATTTAGGCTGATATCAATATTGACCGATATATTGATGTTATTGGCTTTTTTGGTCAAAAGCAGACATTTACTGTAAACATATCCATTAATACACTTACCCAAACAATAAGTTGGAAATAGACATCATTATTATCAAGCTGCTTTTCCTTATCGGACCAATACTAATATCTTACAAAAAGTGACAAACATCGACTGATATCAATGTAGATATTGATATGTTGTGAATCTTTAATCCACCAATAATCAAATTTTCAAGTTTTTACTTGACTCAAAAAACAGACTAAAAACAGCTGATGTTTTAGGTTCATTAAATGCACCAAAACTCAAAATTCCCACCTTTTCTTTCTCTGTAAAGAACTCATAAAAGAGTTGTGATGTACTTTGTTTTTTTCTTGTGTGAAAGTGAATGCTTTACGTTTGAATATGTTCATTGAAATGAGTTTTGTACGTGTCGTTGCCTTTCAATGAAAAGATGGAATAGCCCGATTAAAATCTCGGCAATAAACAAAAGTCGGTTCCAGTCGGTAAGAGTGTGATTGCTGCATCTGAAATCAAATACTGTTGTTTTTTCAAACTCAACAAAAACTTCCAATGAATTTCCTCACCACAGCTGAAGTTGTCTTTTAAATGCAGAAACCTTCCTTAAAACTAGCTGCACATTTCTGCACCACCTGCACACACTACATTAGCTAAGCTGTGGCGTCTTTGACCTGATCTTCTATTAGCTACTGTAACTCACTAAAGAACCAGAAGCAGGTGGAAGTGGGATGTTGTGAGAAAAAACAGGTGAAAAAGCACAGTAATTCATCTTTTCTTGTACATAAAACGTTAAGAATAAAACCACTACTGTGCTTTTCCCTCTCACGGTGCAGCAGCAGTGTCGCACTGAGCCGCGTGTTTTCTTTTCGATCCTGCCCAGATCTTGTCAGATCTCTGTAAAGCAGCTAAAATACTCCTTAATGCCCCGCTGGAAAAAAAAAAAAAAAAAAAGATTTGCTTGCGGCTCACGGCCTTACATCTTTTTTGCAGAGTAAAACCAGCTGTTTTCCGTCTGTTTTTGTTCACCACCCTCCCTCCCTGTGTTTATAAGCGTAGCTTTGTGTGCGGGTGCGCGACGTGTGAACAGCGCGCCGCGGCGGTGTAGCTGCGAAGCGGCGGTCATCTTACAGTGCAATTATTCACTTAGCGCAGCGGCAGGCGGCTGCAGCCTGGGCCCTGTTTACTCCGAGGCTTCGAGCCGCTGGCTGCGATGGCGGACAGACCGCAGTTGACACTGGCCCACACAGCCACATTCCAACCTGGGAGAGCAAGAAGACGGGGAGGGTGTGGGGGGGGAATAATGTGAGAGTTAAAAAAAATAAATAAAAAAAAAAGGAGGGAAAGTAGGGTGAAGGACACTGAGAATTTTCTGGGGCAGGTAGGATGGAGATCTCCTTCCAGCGGCTTTGAAATGGAAGATTATAGCACCGAAAACAAGAGCTGGCAAGCTGGATTTAAAAGAAATCATGTGGCACAATGATCTCATAAAATAAACCTGCTTCACGGGGGGAGAAAAGAAGCAAAAAGACGGTCCCGGGAGCGTCGCCGCTCCGCTTTTATAATGCCAGAGATTGTGCTCGGCTGCCAGGAGCGAGGAGAACCTGTGCCACCCTGATGTTTGCCCACAGCAATGACGTGCTTTGTGGAGTTTACTTATGGTAATCCCAGCTCGGGATCGTTTAGAGGCCCTTTTATATCAGCGCCAGGTTGTAAAAGTCAAAGCCTGGAAGCCAGGATTTCCAGCGGTGGCCGAAAATAAAAACAGAAAAGGAACGTCGTACCAGCGGCGCGTTGCTAGAACGCGTCTGCGCCGGCAACAACAGGAGAGGCCGTGGATGCCTTATGGCCAATGTCGTGACTTTTAAAGTTACTTTGGCGGATGGTGTGTTTGCGTGACAAGTGCGGGGGCTCCTTAAAAACCTCCGTCGTCCAGATAGAGGGCCCAAACCCATTAACCTCCCCTACATATCGCACAGTGAGGAACGAGAGAGAGCATCACATGAATAATGCCCTGTGTGGTCCGCGCACTCACACACAGAGATGCCTCAGAGAGACGTAGCCGGTGTGGAAAAGCGTGAGGCCCTCAGACTCACAGCGCCCTTTGATAGAGGCACAGCTAAGCGTACTGCTCCGCATGGACACAATGGCACATAAGGAGACTGGAGCTGTACAACGCAGAAATGCAAAGCAACAAGCTGCGGCCCGATTGAGCGCGATGTGGAGCTTTCTGACTCCGCTTTACGGCCCATTTTGACAGGGATGACAACAATAGGCCGTCTGTGGAGTGATATGATGTAGCTACACATTTCTAATGAGGATCATCGTGAACATATAGTGGACCTATTTGCGGTTCAATGTTCGCTAATTTGTTTTTTTAGCTGATTTTTTTTTTTTTTTTTTCATAGCGCACATGTCAAAAATTCAAAAGAAAATGCATCTTCGGAAGCTAGACGCAATGCTACTGGATAGGCCGGTGTTTGTTCCCTTAAGAGTGGTGGAGATAAAGCTGTTAGCTAAGAAGGTTTCCACCGTCTGTATTAATGCATTTTAAGGTATATTTGGTGTTTGAATGATTAAATTAGTCAGTTTTAAGCCTTTTTTTAGGAGGTGTTTCAAGTACTTGCAAAATTTAACTACACCGAAATGTACTGTACATTTCAAATAATGTAAAGTACAGTAGCTTCATCCAAATGTGCTGTTCTTGCCATACTTTCTATCTAAAGCAAAGAAAATAAAGTTATAAGCTGCAATTGCAAGTAGTGCAAAAATGGCGAGTATCAGGATGAAATGAGGGGAGAAAATGGTCTATGAGTCTGAATCAGATAGCTTAAACTAACCAAGGGCTCTTTAACTATAAGCTTTAATTAAACTGACATTGCTATTTTCTCTGAAAAGCAGCACATTGTTTGGCAGCAGTTGCATTTCCATAAACATCCCATTGTGTCGTTGTCTCTCCTGTCGTCTCGGGTAACGGAGAAAAGCTCTTTTCACGAGTATTGACATTCTCTGGATCAATTCCACTTGGCTTTGAGTACATCTTTGCTGTGATCATTCGGGCTCCTGTCACACCAGATCATTCTCTTTCTCAAATGTGTTTTCGCTCCGCCGGAAAACAGAAACCGAACGCTTCTGTTTCGCCGGGTGCTAATTATTATTCCTGTCAGTCCCGGGGCTTTGTTTTTCCTTTCGCATGCTAATGGACACCGCCTCGGGATCAAATTCAGGGAGAAATTACGTCTGTTAAAGTGTAAGCTAGGGTTTGGATATAGTTGCACATACTTCCCCTGAAAGCCTTTAGCCTATCTTTGAATGTTCAAACCAGCAAAGCTTTAACACAAATGTAAATTCCACATGTTTACATTTGTAATAATATGACAGAAAAAACTGCAACTAGCAACTAAATTGGGAAGACTTGTTGACTTCTACTTCCCAAAAGTGAGCCTTGGGGTGTTTCAATTGGAGACCAAAATTTCAACATCTGTGACATTTTCATTGCACCGGATCAAACAAACAAATCTCTTTGAAACACCTGTTCACTTCCTCTCCTGTGGCGGCGTCGCACCAAGAACCACTGAAGGAAAAAGCACGAAAACCTCTGAAGAAGACATGAGCGACACTTCCTTCTTCACGAAAGTGTAAATAAAAATAGAATAGTGTGGGATTTTAGCATCTTTTGTTTTTAGCTAAAGAAAACAAGCCGTTTGTTTTGATTTTATTTACCCAGAATGCTCTACGCTATAGTTCACTTCCTGCTTTTGAAGCGGCCTTTGGGCTCCTTGGCATTCGCAAATGAATTCAAACCAAGACCTAGGTGTTTAGGCAGACCAGAGTTTGCTTTTTTGGTCTGAATCGCAGATTCACATCTCTCCAAACAAACCAAACCTTCTAGCCAAACGGTTGGATTAAAGTGGACTAATCAGGCCTGGTGGCAACGCGCTCTTAGAAAGTTTATTTCTTCCTTGCTAATCCTTCTGGTTGGAGAGGTTGGACGAGTAGCTAACCTTCTGCAGACATCCCCAGACAATCAACACCATCATGGTATGTCTGCTGTCTTTTTCGAATTGAAGAGTGTATGATACGTCACAAACAAAGAAATATTCCCTGAACTGCACTTGATTTCAAAGATCGGTGTGAACCGCAAGGCGTCGTGGTTGGTTACGCTGTTGCCTGGCAGCATGAAGTTCCATTCATTGGGTCTTTCCGGATGAAATTTAGATGTTGCTTCTCGAAGTGTTCAAAAGTCTGATTGATGTGATCTGCAACCCTTTACGAGAGTCGTAGTAAATTGGCTTCCGAAGCAGACTTCTGTCTACATTAATTGGTTCGACTCCAACTGGAAGGAGTTTTCCATCCTTCTCTCCCTTCGCACTTTGTATTTCACACCTCTCTCCTTTCATCACGCTTATTTTTACCTGACACTGGAAACGGGACCAAAATCTACAAGTGTTTGCTTGAAAGGAGATCTCCCTCCTCTACACGGAACAGCAAGCTTCCTGGAGCTTTCCTGCTCCTGCGAGGTCTCAGTGGCAGATGGATCCGGTCGTGCCATCCTCTGGGTTTTGGGCTTGATATCCAAAAATTAGATAATGAATAGTGAAAAGATTCCAGGCTGATGAACGTCTGGATAAAGTAAACAGAGCATTAGTGGCCAGAGGCCTGGCCAAGGTGACATGCCGTTCCCTTCTCCCTGTCTCTATTCACAAGTCTGTGACAGGCCAGACAAAAGACTGAAATGCCATGTAGGCAAGTCAGACACGGCTCCCAAATTGGAGCTAATTGCTTTTTAGCTCATCTTTGGGAAAATATGAGTTTGGCTTGTTCAGAAGCATCTAATTGGGAGGGATGAATTGTAGGCTAAATGAACAGCGGTGTGTAACAGTTTGTCTTGCAAAGAGGTTTTAATAACAGGGCAGCTTTGTGGAAGCTGCTCCATAACAGAAACGTGTGTGGAGCCCAAGCTGGAAGATTGTGAGATTGTTGCGTGAAAATGTGACTTTTTTCTTCAAGCTCGGCACTTTGTTCAGAGCTCTGTTGAGGCATGAAAAGTTTTGGATTCGGTTTGTTTTCGCCCGGTTCTCTGTCCTTGTTTTCAGCTGCGGTTGAGACAAATGCAGTTATCCGGCCTTCACCGAGTTCTGGGATTATTTTAATCTAACCTCGAGTGTGGAAATTACAAGACAGAGCACATTCCACACTGACATTGTTTGATACTGAGAGCGAAAAAATTAAGAACATTCATTTTCTGCTTTTCATGGTGCACTTTAGTTTTTTCCCTCTTAAAGTGATCATAATCTGATAAAAAAAAAATTATCAATTGCAGATTTTTAATATATTCCGGTATGTGAAACCAGCAGATTATTTTGTGTTAAAAACACTATGTGACAGATGTCGGTCCCTCCTTGTCCCTGTAGCCTCGGAGCCCAACCTGAAGCTGCGCTCCCGGCTGAAGCAGAAAGTGAGCGAGCGCCGCAGCAGCCCGCTGCTCCGCCGCAGAGACAGCCCCATCACTACGGCCAAGAAGCGTTCCCTCGACATGGCGGGTGAGAGGCGGAGGAGGAGGAGGAGGCGGCGGCGAGGATCCCGCTGTTTCAAACCTTTTTTTTTTCCCCAGACTCCTGCTGATTCTTCTTCTTCTCCTCCTGTCTCAGACTCGGCGTGCAGCAGTGCCCCCGGCTCCGGCCCCAGCTCCCCGAACAACAGCTCCAACAACATCCCCAACGAGAACGGCATCACTGTGTCCGTCTCCAACAACATGGAGGTACATCACACCCGTCGTCTTTATTTCTAGCGTATGTTAAGAAAATGAATTTAAAATATGCTAGTTTTAAAACTTAACATGTCTTGATTGAAATAGCCTAATTATAGTTTTGAAATTAGTAACTTATTCTGGCCTATTGACCTTTATGTTACCTGTAGTTACAGCAGATGGTTTGCTAGATCTTTTGAACTTTTGATCTGTGTAGGAAAACAATCAGGAGAAGTTCCAGCTTTTCACACTGATCCGTGAAAAGCCATAAAACAGCAGGAGTTCAGGAGAGTCTCTGCTTCCACTTGGTTTCAACAATGGAGACAAATGGTCTTAGATCGTGACTTGCTAGGAGTTTTAAAAGGGTCAGAGAGCTTCTGCTTGGCAAAGGTACACCTTATTTGAATAAATTAAAGACAAGAATACGCCTTTATTATAAAACTTTCTACACAGGAGTAACAAATCAGATTTGCTCTCGCAATTCTCCAAAGACGTCTTTGCATGTCTTTGCTTTTCTTTCTTCCTTCTCCTTTTCCATTTGTCTCAGGTAAATGAATGCATGTCTCTGTTGTTCTGCAGTTTCTGTTGTAATTTGATGCGTTGTTTTCTATTGGATTAAACTCTGTAATTCTGTGACGTCTGCACTCGTTTTTTTTGTGTGGCTACACGCGGTCCGCCGGGAGAACCTGGGATCGAAGAAGATTGAGCCAAAGAGTTTCTTTCTTAAGAAATATTATAACCTAAAATCTTCTTCAACACGTATAAAACAACAACAACAAAAAAGTTGTAACTGTAGGATTAGATTTGTGTCTCTGGTTTCTAGCTCACCAAACATTTCAGGCTGTTGCATATACAAAGGCTGTGAGCGAGGTGACGGGGCTCCAGACGGGGGGAGACAGCGTCGAGGAGCTGGCAGGATGCTATTTGTGGAAGCCATTAGGGCCACTCAGGCAGTGTGGAGGAGGCCGGTGGCTGTGACAACGTTAGAACGCCAGGAGGGAGCAAATGCCGTTTCTCCATGTGCGGACATCTGCCAGGCCTGGGCGACACGGCTTACAAATAAAAACCACAATTTCTTTTCCCCAATACCGGATCTGATTTTAACGGATTTTTATTTATTCTTCTTCTATAAAAAGAAAGAAATTAGAAATGACTGAAAATATTGTCAAAAAGTGGCTTTTGTTTTATATTAGCAGAATAAGAACGCAATTTTACCAAAAGAGCATCTTAAAGTTAAGAGTTAACGCTGCAGTATGTAACTTTAATAGTAAATATATTTTAACATGTTTGCTGAAAATATGATTTGTCTCAATTTGAGATGAGTTGTCTCTCTGATTTGAGACAAATAATCTCCAACAAATCAAGCTCGTCTGCCTTCTCTCAGTGCTAACTAGAAACAACCAATTAGAGGCAAGAGGTGGGTCTTAGTGCTGTCAATCACTCCTTTTTATCTTCATGCTCCTCCCTCTCTTGCTTATAAATTCTCAGGTTTGTTATCATGGCCATTGCTGATAGCAGATAAACAGTTTTCCTGCAACGGTAAATCTATGTATTTTTTTAAAGTCACATAATGAACTTTTAACCTTTACTCTATTGTCCTATGACTTTATTTTTGGAGTAGAAACATTTTTTCAGCCTGGCTCCAACATTCTGTCGTAGAGTTGACCTGAATTCAAAGTGCGAATAAACAGAAGGTGTAAAACTCGCTTGTCAAAGAAGACGGCTGCCACCAAGGAAGCTTCAGCTAATCGACAAAATGAACTTATTGTAATTCAGAATCGTGGTGTCTGTTTTCCGTCGTGCGCTGGATGTTTCTCCGTATCCGTGATGCAGATTGTGTAAATGTGTCTTCCAGGCGTCTCTGGCCCAGCGGCTGTGCGGCGGCGATCAGGGCTCCATCAACCAGCTGTCCCTCTACACCTCGCCGTCCCTCCCCAACATCACCTTGGGGCTGCCCGCCACTGCCACAGCCACCGCTGCCTCCAACGTAAGGAGGAAATCAGCTGGACGTCTGACTCTGCATCCATGAATGTGTTTATTTTGCAGTTTAGCATCTGTTGTTTTTTTCATTGTTTTTTTTTTCTCGCCCTCTCCTCCAGGTGACTTCCGCTCAGCAGGATGCAGGCCTGCAACCAGCCCTCTCCCTGAGCCCCCCCTTCCTTTCCGGTGGCCATTTGAGCCCCTACCTCGCAGACGGCGGGTCCGGTGGCCATGGCGCTCACAGCCCCCTGCTGCAGCACATGGTTCTGATGGACCAGAGTCCCGCTCAGAGCCCGCTGGTGACAGGTGAGGCCGAGTCGAAAAGCCTTGAAAACGTGGAACGTTTCCCAGGTCTTCCAGACTTGGGAAACGCATTAAAGCAGGCTTCCTGGAGTCTGATTTTACTTCTTTCCAGGTCTGGATTTTGGAAAAATATTTGTATTTCCAGACTTTATTCTGTCTCCTGTTGTCTTAAAGTTGGTTGGTTCATTCCTTACGTTCCTTTCTACCTTTCTTCTTTAATTGTATCCATCTATCTTTCCATTGCACTACCTTTGTTTTTTGTCCTCCCTTTATTCCTTGTGTCCTCCTTTCCTACTTTTTCCTTTATTCCTTCATTCCTTCTGTACTTCCTTGCTTTGTGTAACTCAGTCTTTTCTTACCTCTGTTCTTTCTTCCTTCTGCCCTCATCCCTCTGTTTTTCCCTCCCAATTTTCTTCCCTGTCCATCCTTGTCTTGTTCCATCCGTCTTCTTCCTTCCTTGCATCCTTCCAGCCTCTCATCCTTCAAATCACCCTAATAATATTTGTCACAGATCCATAATGAACTTTCTTGTGATGGATTTTAGGATGAATGGAAAAGACCAGGAAGTCTGGAAATATGTAGGAACCCTGGTTTAAATCTAAATTTTAGGTTTGTTTTTATATGTGTTTCTATCTGAATGACATTCTGTATTTTTGATGTTCAAAGTCACAATTTGATTTCTTCAGGAAACGAAGAGCATCATCTAGTTTTCATGGCTTGTTGGTAAACGTGTGCATTCAGATATGTTTTAATTTCGAGAGGATTTCTCCATTTAAAGTCTGGAAAAATTGCCGTTAACTGAATAAAACATGAAGGAAAGCAGTGAGCCATTAAAAAAAACAAAAAAGAAAAGAAAAAGTGAGGCGTTCTCACTTTTTATTTTCACAGCGAGAGGGGATGTAACCCCCTCTCGCTGACAGACGTCCATTCATTTGCTCAAACTAATGAGCTCCTTTCATATGTCAGCGTATGCTATGAGAGTGACATGGGAGCATTGTGTGCCCTTTCCCATCAGCTCATTCACAGACAAAAAAACATGGCTTCTATTTTCAGATAGGCATTAGTGTTGAAAGAGCTGTGACGCACATGCAGACGCACGCAGGACTGTTTTCTGCTCTTTAACAACAAAACAACAAAAAAAAAGAAAAAGAAAAAACTTTGAAGATCCCAGATGTGAGAAATTACAGATCGGAGGACAGAAAACCGTCGTTGTTTCTTGTTTTCCTCCCGTCTCTCCGGCAGCTGCGCATCGGTGGGGTTTCTGCATCCTGGCGATGCAGCGGTGGACAAATCTGCACAGTAGTCAAACTCCTTGCATCATTTAGCGGCCCCCATTAAGGTTTAGAGCTTTCCCCCCCACCGCCGTGCCACGCCTTGAGATGGCATTGGGCTCGGATGATCACGCCGGAGGAGCCGCTGCAGTATGGCGGCACAGATGGTTCTGCTGGTTCGGGTTCACGCGTGCATCTGCTCGCACATCTCCGGTTTGGCGGCGGCGGCAGAGCGTCTGTATTGGTGGAATCAGTGCAAGGAGAACCAAAGAGTACGGGGGGGGCTCAGACATGTTTACTCTGATACCTCGAAATGAAATGATTAATCAGTCTCTGGTTGTATGTGTCAATTCTGATCCCCACAGCATGACGCTGCCACTGTTGTGTTTCTCCATAGAACGATGAGTTCAGGTTGATTTGAATATTTATCTCTCAGGAAAGCCGGAAACCCTTTTCCACATCTCTTACAGTAAAATGTAATGTAATCTAGAAAAACTAAAAACTATGAACAGAAGTCGAGTCTGTATAAACATTTAACTTTTCCCTTCAAGAATCCTGACATAATCCCAGATTTTGTCATTCAGACTGTTTTCCTGAACAGATCTGATCCGTTTTCCGTCTTTCAGCGTTACCAGTTCAACATTTCTCACCGGGAAGTTCAGATCAGATTGTGCCGTTCATCTAATCCCTAAGCCCCACCGTGTGTGTCTGTGTGTGTCCGTCCCCAGGCGTCAGCGGCATGTCCATGTCGTCGGCCTCCATGGCCAAGCTGCAGCGGCAGCACCGGCCCCTGGGGCGGACCCAGTCGGCGCCGCTGCCCCAGGGGAGCGCCGCCCAGGCCCACGCTCAGGCCCTGGCCCTGCAGCAGCTGGTGGTGCAGCAGCAGCACCAGCAGTTCCTGGAGAAGCACAAGCAGCAGTTCCAGCAGCAGCAGCTCCACCTCAACAAGGTACCTGCTCCTCCCCTCCTGCATCCACCCCTCCGCTGTCGTCAGCTGTCGATGTTGAATGTATTAAAAACAAACAAACAAAAAAAAAGACCTCAGAGCGAAGTTTGAAATATTCAGTGAACGGGGTGGAAGCGGCTCTGGTGGCGGCCCACTGGACGTGACACTGCAGCGAAATAAACAGATAATTATCAGCTCCGGAGGGCCGGAGGAGTGTTGTAGTTTTGCGTAGGCGGCAGCCGGCAGCTCAGCCAATGAGGCGTCCTCCTCTTCTCCCTCTCCGTAGTATTTCTGTTTGTGAGTAGGTGGAAGCAGGTATGGGCCGACACGTATAGCACAACCCGATTGTGTGTGTGTGCGTGTGTGTGAGTTTATATCTGCAAACGCTCGTATTCACGTTTCTGTGACTGTGGTCGGTGCGACCTAACCGTTCGCTGCCATGGCAACGGAGCGGAAGCCCGCGCCTCATATGGGCAGGGAGGAAGTGAGCAGTCGGTCGCTCCTGTCGGCTCTTACCTATCGGAGCCGAGGATTCGCCGGAGGAGACGAAGAGAGGTGGGCGGATGAAACGAGGGATTTCCTCTCCTCCGCCTCCCCCGCTCCGTCTCCCTCCCTCGCAGATGTTTCCCAGCTCTCCAGCGGCGGCTTTCCACACAAACACCTCTGGAAAAGCCGCCGGCACACCGAGGAATTATTTGTACCTCAACATTTCTCTGTGGTTACCGAAAATGTGGATTTGCCTTCATTTAGTCCATATGAAATATGCATCAATGTAGTTATTTTAAGATCTCTATTCAGTTGAAACCAGATGCATTTTTATTCTTTTTTATTTTTTTCCTGTTTTTATTGTTGTTTTCACCTATAAGAAGCGAACAAAGCCAGGATATCAAGTATCAACTTTGGTTGCCAAACATACCTTCATTGCTCAGTAGATTTAGAAGAAACTTAAATAAAAAAAAAATAAATAAAAATCATCCTTCCACAACTCCTCTTTGGTCGCGCGCCCAGACTTGAAGCCATTCCTCGTCGAACATCACAGAGCAGCGCTTCCGTCTGGAGCAATATTTCTTCTGATCTGTGATCACAGTTCATAACGGGGTCTGTGGAGAACAGCAGGCTTGCATTACCCACGTAGAAACAGAGGGAAGCGGATCCTTACGGAGAGAGAAAACTGGGAATACCTATAGCGCCCGAGCGAAAATGTTCACATATCAACAAGTCATAAAGTTTCTTAAAGGGACAACCAGCCCTTTAAGAACATTTGTGATCTTGATTTGACCCAAAATGGAAGCGGGTTCAACAGCCCTGCTCTAGACGTCCCTTCATAAACGGCATCAGCGGGTAATTATTTGCACTTTTCTGACTTTTATTTGCAAAAGAAAAAAAAGCTCATCGTCAAGGAGAGTTGAAACATAGTTGAGGAATTCTATACTAATACTATGGTTAAAAAAAAAACAATAGATTTACAAAGATTTAAAAGATAGGAAACTGAAGAAAACGCCTCCAGTTGGCAGCGGCCGCTGCGAACGGGGGACCGGACCTGGGTTTGAACCGGTTCTGAGTAAGTGGAGCACAGGGTTCTCGGCAGGGACACGTCCATGTCTGTTTGAACGCAAAAGAGACTCAGACAGAAGCCCAGAGGACGAATGAATGCTCTGACGTCAAAGCTGTCCTCTTGGCATAAAACCACGGAACCCGAGGGCTTTGTAGCTCTGGGAACAACACACACACGCACACACACACCTGCAGGCCACGTTTGAAACTTCCCATTTTGTCTTCCTCTGCAAGGCCTGGCGGGGCAAGAGCCGTTGGGGGCTTTGACTGGTCCGTGTCGGTGGAAAGTGAATCAGCGGGCGGGGTGAAGCGGGGCGCGGGATGAGTTGATGACGAGCGGCGGGACTCCGAGTGTGGCATGCCTCTGATCAGCGAGACATGTCACCGCGGTGTCCCGTCAGCACAGGCCACTCACATCCAATTAGAAACAGAGAGGCTGGAGAGGAGCTGACTGCGTAATCCAAATTAAGCTCGTTAAACGCAGAATGCTTCAGAGAAAGGAAATGATTCATCAATTCGATTCGCGCTGGATGGGATTTGTTGGATTATGAAACTGATTTTTTTTATTTTTTCTGTTGTTGTCTTGCGTTTTCCGCAGATGATGGGGAAGCCTGGCGAGTCGCCCGTGGGTCGGCAGCACCAGAGCCACCCGGAGGAGACGGAGGAGGAGCTGAGGGAGCACCAGGACGCCGGGGCCCTGCCGCCCGGGGTCACCATCAAGCAGGAGCCGCCGGACCCACAGGAGCTGCAGGAGCTGCAGGAGGAGGTGCTGCAGCAGCACCGCGAGCGCGAGCAGGAGCTGCTCTTCAGACAGGTACAGCATGAATTTACATCCAGAATATCGCTTTGGATCCTCCACCTGACAAAACATCAGAGATAAATCATTTGTTTCGGCCGCCATCTGTTGGCGGTTTGTTGTAATTACAGTAGTACAGTCAAATTATTTAAAAAAAATGTATCAGATTCATCACACTTCTCATCACTACGGTTAACTTTGTAAGCTTGAAATATAAAATGTTTAAGAAAATTTTTTATTGTCTCAAACTAAGCATCTCTATTTTGTAGGTTTTCATATTCGGGACTGTTTAAAAAAAGTTAATGTGTTTCAAACATAATTTAGAAATGTTAAGTATAATGTGCTTCAAAGGAATGATAATTTATCATTGCAATAACGTCATGACCTCATTTTATCCAAGCGTCCATTGAGGTATTTTTTTAAGACGTTTTTGGTTCTAGATGACTTTATTTGGCACTAATGTAGCAGGAAGTGGGCAGAGAGAAAGGAGGAAAGACATGCAGGAAGGGAACTGAGGACGGGATTCGAATTTGGTGTATTTTTAAAGTGAAATTTGCCGCTAAGCAACCCAGCCTGACACCTTACTCGTCTTTTCTCTCAAATTTGCAACTCTGCATTGCCGACCGCAGTACAAGACAGCGTAACTCTGCTGTGAACTAGGTAGCAGTCCATGGGGGAGTGGCATTTAGGTTGAAATAGTTGGTGTTATTAACATTAACAAGTTAAACTTGTTTAAATGAATCGCATGCACAAGTCCATTAAAACTTAACATCTGTTTTGTCTTCCTCGTCGCCACGCGAGCAGCAGGCTCTGCTGTTGGAGCAGCAGCGGATTCACCAGCTGAGGAACTACCAGGCGTCCATGGAGGCCGCCGGCATGACCATGTCCTTCCCCGGACACAGACCCCTGTCCAGGGCGCAGTCGTCTCCGGCCTCGGCGTCGTCCTTCCCCATCAGCGTCCCCTCGCAGGATCCTCCCGCCAAGCCTCGCTTCACCACAGGTCAGCAGACCTGATCGAATCCTTGAAATCCTGGAAAACGCTTGAATTTCAAGTCGACTCGGAAAGCCTTTGAAAGCGCTCGGCATTCAGACTGCAGAGTTTTGCTTCTCCTCAGGCCTTGTGTACGACTCCCTGATGCAGAAGCACCAGTGCATGTGCGGAAACACCAACAGCCATCCGGAGCACGCCGGGCGCATCCAGAGCATCTGGTCCCGGCTGCAGGAGACCGGACTCCGAGCTCAGTGCGAGGTGAGACCGGAAAGCCGACTCCGCTTGGCGGCCAGACCGCGATCGCCGTTCCATCTGACAGCGTGTGTTTTGCTTAGTGTATCCGTGGGAGAAAGGCCACTCTGGAGGAGCTGCAGACGGTCCACTCCGAAGCCCACGTCCTGCTGTACGGGACCAACCCACTCCGGCAGAAACTCGACTGTAAGCTTCACTCTGTTCATTAAAACCAGGAGGAATCCGCTGCCGTTTCCAGCTAATCCGACATTTCCTTCCCGATCAACAGGTTCCATAACACCCATGTTCGTTCGGCTGCCGTGCGGAGGAGTGGGGGTCAGTCACAACCGAGCGTTTCCCGAATTCGTCTCCCGTAAGTTACCCCCTCCCCCACACAGGCGTGTCTGACATGCTTGCTGGCGTTTCAGGTGGACAGCGACACCATCTGGAACGAGGTCCACTCGTCCAGCGCGGCGCGGCTCGCCGTCGGCTCCGTCGTGGAGCTGGTCTTCAAGGTGGCAACTGGAGAGCTAAAGGTAAACGGTTCTTACCAGGTCCACAGCTTGATTTTCAGTACATTTAGAGCCAGAACGGCAAAGATGGAAAGATGCATTTCAATTAAAGGTTCCCGGATCATGGAATAATCTTGACAGTGAAATAAAACGTTAACTTTTGAACTTTTAAATAAATCAGTTGAAGTGAGGAAAGTTTTGCAAATAATGTTTAGCACCAATGTTCTTTTGTTTCATTTGTGATTCAGAATAACAAGAAATGTTTACCTCTTGTTATTGATTTGTTGAATTAGATTTTTTCATTCATGCCATAATTACCTGGTTTTTTGGGAGTGGGGTGATAATAAATACGATAGGAAAGAAACAAAGTGGAATTCCAAAAAAAAAAAAAAAAAAAAAGGGGGGGGGGGGGTTTTGGGAAAAAATTTGATGGATGACGTAGGTTGTTACTTTCCACCAACAATAAAACAAAAGGCATCAGCATGAAGCTGCCACCACCATGTTTTACTACAGGGATTCAATTACTTCTTCCAACACACTGAGCATTCTCCACGTTCCTCAAAAAGTGTCATTTTAGTATATATATATATATATATATATATATATATATATATATATATCATAAAAAACTTTAATCTGGCACATGAAAGCCTATAAAATATCCAGAATGTTGTGGCTGGAGCTTGACTGGATGTGGGATGTGAATTCCTCTGCAGCAGGTTTTTATCTATTTGTGTCGATGAGTTCTGCTGCCGTTAACAAACCTTTGTTTTTCTTCCCAGAACGGTTTTGCGGTGGTCCGCCCTCCTGGACACCACGCCGAGGAAAGCACCCCCATGTAAGGCCACAGCCGTCACCACACAAACAGCAGCAGGGACCGTTAACCGTTAAACTAACTAATAAACTAACCGTTTATTTGCACGTAAAGCGCAAAAGGCGAAGCGTTGCCATGTGAACATGAGAATGGAGCACTGAAATGCGTGTGGATTTGTGACGGTTCCCATCTCTGCTGCCGTTTCAGGGGCTTCTGCTACTTCAACTCGGTGGCCATCGCAGCCAAACTGCTGCAGCAGAGACTCAGCGTCAGCAAGATCCTCATCGTGGACTGGGTCCGTTTCCTTAGCAACCGCATCTTTTAGTTTTAGCCCGGTCCTGGTTTGGCACTGAACGAGTTCACTTTATCTCTTGAACTTAAGGATGTTCACCATGGCAACGGCACCCAGCAGGCTTTCTACGACGACCCTAATGTCCTCTACGTCTCTATCCATCGCTACGATGACGGCAACTTTTTTCCAGGAAGTGGAGCGCCCGATGAGGTGAGTTTTCCAATTTCTTCTGGTGACTGAAAATCTTTCTAAGCTATGAACAATTTTAACTTTTATCACTGGAACCTTCTCCCGTTTTCTCAGTTTGATATTTTAGATAATTGCAGAACATTTAGGCAAATGTTTTGAATCATTATCCCACTAAATCTTTTCTTAAAAGTTTTATTCTGAACCATTTCTTAATTAATCAGTGCAGTTTTTTCCCCAAAACTTATCCATTTTATTACTTAAGATTAATTTATTATTTTAACACTTAAGAAAAAATACATTTATTATTAATTAAAATAATGGAGGTTGTTACCGTTTTCTGTTTGGTTCCTCTGTTCAGGTGGGGAGCGGTCCAGGGGTGGGCTTTAATGTCAATGTGGCCTTCACTGGGGGCCTGGACCCCCCCATGGGAGACGCAGAATACCTGGCTGCCTTCAGGTAATGTTTGGGAAGATTTGACTCAATTTTAATGCTTTCGGTTCTTTCTGTAATCACTAAACTGTGTTTCAGGATGTTTGAAGCAAAATTTTCTCAAACTGAAACTTACTCAATCAATACCTCGTCACTGCTTCCTGTTTCGATTATTGACCTTGAAGAGTGAGCTGTGCAGCTTGATAATGATAACTCCCCCCGCAACCTCGCCCTTCTCCCCAGGTCTGTGGTGATGCCGATAGCCGACGAGTTCGCTCCGGACATCGTGCTCGTCTCCTCCGGCTTTGACGCCGTGGAGGGACACCCCCCACCGCTGGGCGGCTACACCCTGACCTCCAAATGTGAGCAAAAGATTGTCTGAGTACATTTTTTTTTTTTATCTCAAACAGCAGCTGTATCCACCAGCAGGATAACACGCAACCGCATCCAATTTTTTTCGTTTTGGTATGTGACTGACAAATATCAGGGTGTCTGCAAACTCTTAAAGAGTCTTAAAATACTGTTGGTAAGTACAAGGCTTGAAAATGTCTGAAATATATTTTAAAAAGGTAAGTTGGCCTTAAATTTTGTCTTGACAGGACTATTTCTATATAGTTTCTTTTCTGACTCGACACAGCTGAAGCTAACGCTAACTCACTGCTAACATACACAGCTAGCTGGGGGTTTTTTTTGTCCATCATGGTAAGCATAATTTTATTGCCAGTTGGCTGGACAACGTTTCTACATTTCTATGGAGACACAGGCCTTAAATTCCATTCATTGCGGTCTTAAAAAGTCTTAATTTAAGTTAGTGAACCCTGCAGAAACCCTCAATATGCGCATATTTGATTGATGGGTTCTGTCCGCTCAGGTTTTGGGTATCTGACCAGGCAGCTGATGACCCTCGCTGGAGGCCGGGTGGTCCTGGCGTTGGAGGGAGGTCACGACCTCACCGCCATCTGTGACGCCTCTGAGGCCTGCGTTGCTGCCCTGCTCGGACAGGAGGTGAGAAGTTCCAAAATTTAGCATCAAGTTTTGATTCTGAACTGCAGCTGGACATTAGATCCGTTTTTTTAGATTAATTTCATTCTTGGTTTTTGAAGAGTTTATTTCTGGAAAATCTGGATCTTTTTTATTTATTTTTTTCCTCCAATGCTCTTCAGAGACGCCATCTTATTTTACTGCTTCTATTTATTTGGACTTTGAATTCAGGTCGACTCTGTGATGAAACATAAGGGTCAAACTATAAAAAAAAAAAAAGAACAAGCTTTTTTCATTTCAAAGCAACTTTCTTATAATTTTAAGATGTTCTAGTAACTAACTAACTAAACACAGATTGGCACTAACACTCCATCTCAAGAAACACTTTTTTGTCATTTGTAATTTCATTTTTAGAAAAGAAAGTGAGAAAAAAAAATCTGGTATGGAAAAATTTGAACACTTTGTTTTTAATGGCTACTCTGAATGCGTTAACAGATTTTCTTTTAAAAATCTTCCTAGCTAGAAAGCTAATAGTCGTATGTTACTGAACATGCAGTGTCGATTTATTTCTGGAGCAGCATTTCAGGAGTAAACAGAACAGTGGGAGTTTGCTGGGAATGGACGAAGCCCTGTTTTCCCTTGTGCTCTTCCTGTCCAGACAGACCCCTGGTGGAAACCCGCTCCATCCTCATGTTTCCATCCTCATGTCTCCGTGCTCTGTGTGTTTTTGTCACGTGCAGCTGGATCCGCTTCCAAAGGCCATCCTGGAGCAGAGGCCCAACCCCAATGCCGTGCGTTCTCTGGAGAAAGTCATAGAGACTCACAGTGAGTTTGGTCACGTAAACATGCACGCATGCAGAAACACACAGATGTTCTTTAGCTGCAAAACACGGAGGATTACACACATGGTTCTCTGCTGCTGATGGACAGAGGTCTCACTCTGAGTGGAGAATTAGAAAGCACAGACATGGAAGTGGTTTGTAGGACTTTTAAAGGTTCAGGTTATAGAGTGGGAAAGATTTTCATATTTTTAACTGTGTTACGATTGTATATTTGCTAGAACGGCATTATTCTTTGGTCATTCTTTATACATTGACTTTCACCAGAATGAACAAGCGCGGGGACACGTTCCCCGCGATTTCTTATTTTGTCCTGTCCTCCCCTTCCGTCTCAGGTAAGTACTGGCGCTCGGTGCATCGCTACTCATCGCGGCTGGGGCTCTCTCTGCTGGAGGCCAAGCGAGGCGACTCGGAGGAGGCCGAGGCCGTCAGCGCCATGGCGTCTCTGTCCGTCGCCAACACCAACACCATGGATCAAAGGTGCAGCTTCCTGAGAGAGCTAAGCAGACAAATTCCTCTAATTGTTTTTTTAATACAAGCTTTGAAAATCACAAAATGATATGTTTATAGTTTTTAGTTGGAGTTTTGTAGAATTTGTGTCTTATCATCTAAACATTAAACATACAGTGCCTTCTGAAGTTACTGTCCTTTCCACTCTTGTTTAAATTCTACATCTTGGCCAATGTTTGAATTTGATGAAAAGCGTGAGATCATCTGCATAGAAGCGTATTTTCTGACTTAAAACACATTTAAATTCTGTATCTTGGTCAGTGTATGAATTTGATGAAGAGTGTGAGATCATCTGCATATAGGCATATTTTCTGACTTTTTTTTCTCCCAGCAGGGCGGAGGAGGAGCCCATGGAGGAGGAGGCTCCGCTGTAACTGAGGCAGGCGTCAGGGCGTTGCAGTGTTGCCATTGACCTCTCCGGAGAAGAGCCTCGGCTGACCCCTTCATTTAGTCGCCCCCGACCCCACTCACCACGTCAGTCACCTTGACTGGCAATCCCTCGGTCTAAAATGAGGGAGGGGGAGGGGGGCGGGCTCAGCCTCAGCGTAGGGAGCCAATCAGAAGACAGAGGACTGAACTGAAATGGGAGGAAAAAAATAAAATAACAAAACTTAACGGCGTTGCTTAGCAGCACTCGTTTAGAGACACTCATTGTTTTTTCTGTCAGTCTTCGCACCTTGGCATCGGCCCACAGCGGCCGACTGTGCGATCACCCGGCAGGGGGGTCGAGGTCGGATCTTATCGCAGAAAGGAAAGGTGTGCCGTCACACTCGGTGCTTTGCGCAGCTGCCCTCTCTGACCGCATTCAGTCGAGAAAGCAGGGACAGCAGACGATCCCGACTGTCCTGGAGCAGCTCGGGAGGGGTGTGGGGTGGGAGGGTTGTGGGGTTTGTGGGGGTGTTTGTTTCTCTTCTCTTAACTTCGTTCCCCACTAAACAAGGGGAACGCTGCGGCATCTGGGAGGACTTTTTTTTTTTTTTAACGTGCCGCACTCACTGTGGATTCGCCGTCGTCCGAGGAAGGCTTTCGCAAAAGATTTCGACGGCTGAGACAGTCGCCTCGCTGGAGCAGCCTGCCGTCGAAGGTTGACGAGTGAGAGGAGTGCCTTGGAGGGATGGGGGTTGGGGTCCGCCTGTTTTCAGGATTGTTCAGGAAAAAGATTGCCTTAAGTTTAACCGTTTCTCCCACCGAGGAATTGGTGCGAGGAAGGAGACGGGGGAATGAGGCGGGGAACGACGAAAAAAAAAAAAGCTAACAATCTTTCAGCATGTTTACTTAGAAAGTGATGGAGATGGCATTTATGTCTCCGACGGCCTCTCTTGAAGAGTTACTTTACTTTTTTGATGGATCTATTTTTCTGTAAAAAAGTTTAAAAGAGAGGGAGAGAGAGAAAGAAACTGTTTTGTAAAAAGGTAGTTGCCAGCTTCTTTAGACAACGGTGCAAACACCGAGAAAAGGAATCGGATCGCGAACTCTCACAACAGTTTAGCCTTTGATGTAGCCTCCCTTTAAGAGTCAGCGCTTTTTGCAGAACAATTTGCAGAGCATGCATTTTAAGCAGATTTTAACGAATGTTGCCCAAAAGAGAAAGGCGAGCAAGAAAAAAGGAAAAAAAGAAGAAAAAAAAAAAAGCCAAAGCATGAGTTTGCATTTTTACCGTTCTCTTAACTGGAAAGGGCGAGTCGACATGCAACGTTTCACATATTGGCCCTTTAACCCTCTATGGTATGCATTATGATGCCAGTTAGGGGACAAAAACAATGTCTGGAGTTTAGTTTTTTTTTTTTGTTGTTTTTTAATTAGTCTTAAATCACACAAGCAAATTGTATCAGTTCGCAATTAAGTGAACGTCATCATAAATTTGGTTGCATTTTTACAATTAATAAAGATAATTTCGATATTTGTAACCACAAAACAACGAACAAAAGCAATAGAAATCTTTTTCAGTTCTTACTTTGTTTTTGTTTTGTTTTTTTACATTTGGTGCTCCACCCCCCCCCCCTTCTGTAGCCGCCCTAGGCATCTGCCCACACGGCAAAAAAAAAAAAAAAAAAAAAAAGTTAATATAAAAAATTCCCCCCAAAACAAGTTTGAAATAAGCTTTTCTTGAAGTTATTTGACCAATCAAAGCACTCTTATTGGTTCCTGTGGTCTTTTGTCTGTGCTTAAAGTATTGCATCATGTAAAGCGGTGCCTTTCGGAGCTCTGGCTGGCCAACATGGTACCATAGAGGGGGGCGGCAAAGCTCAAAATACCCGGTCCAACGTTTACTGATTTAATCCGCCTCGGATCAGGTGAGCGTTTCTTCTTTACGCGTGCTGATCGAAAGGTTGGCAACTACCTTAATGTGAGCTTCACACCAGTCGTGTATATTTAACTGAATATATTTTGACCGTAATCCAAGTATTGTCGGTTTTGTATCTACGTGTTTGAGTTTCCGCATCGATGTTGTCGATTTTATGATATCAGAAACGTGTTCAGTTCAGCGAGTCCACTTTTGTTTTCTTTTTTTATCGTGCAAGATTATTTTTCTAACATCTTGTTTTTTTTCATGCATAGGTTTCGTTGTGTTTTGTTTTCATCCATTTTGGGTTTTTTTCTGGATAGATATAGGGCTGCGTTCATGTACTTTCAGTGCTGTTGTCGTTTATTCTTTCTTGTATTTATGGAAAACGAGGAAAAACACTTCCTTTCTTCCTTTCTTTCTTTCTTCCTACGGCTCTCGAAGCCTTTTTCAGCATTTTCATCAACTATGTATTTATAACATGTACTGTTTATAGGAGATTTGTATATGGAAACTTTATAAATGTACTCTTACCTTATGACAGCTATGATATTGTGAGCAAAAAAAAAAACCTAGTACGGTGTACAAACAGCGTATTGAACTCGTCATCGACTGCACTGTTTTTCAAGCGGCCCTCCGGCCGAATCGCAGCACGGCACCGCAGTCGACTTTGACGCGTTTCATCACTTCGTTGCCTCATCAGTTCATCCTCCTCCCGCGCACGGGATGATGTTCACCAGACGTTTCGAGGCCGTTTTCACGTAGCTCCCCACGGCTCAAAACGGCGAAGAAGAAGAAACCGACTTGCCGCAGCTTTAACCGGACGTTTACGTACACTGGATTGAAAAAAAAGGAAACGTTGCCGGTTTTTTTTTCCTCACCATTGGGCATGAAATCAGACTAATTGTTCTGTTTTAAATTACTTGTATTTGCTGAATGCCAGAATAACAACACTGATTTTTATTCGCTTGAATTTTGAAATGAACAAAAATGTCCTGATATTTAGTCGACCTGTTGAGGTCGCTCGAGGATTTTTGAAATGTTCCCTCCAATTACATCCAAAGCTTGAAACCGACTCATGTGCAAGCGTCTCAATTTTGAGAAAATTAAACAAAATATTTGATTATTTCTAACAGCTTTTTATTTTAAAATGCTAACCTAAAACAAAAAAAGTTTAGGCTGATTTAATGTCAAACGGTGAGGGGGAAATGGGTTTTTCTACAGTTCAAACAAATGCAGTTTCAGCTGTAATTTAAAGACGCCCATCATGTTTAAGCCAATATCATTTTATAAACCTGTAAGATTCTAAATTGATTTGATGTTTTTCCAGCCTAACTATACATTCCACTTGTTATCTGTTTAATTTGGCTTCTCTAAAGTATTTTTTTTTTTTTTTTTTTTTTTTTTTTTTTAACTGTCATTATGTTTTTTTTTTTTTTTTTTTTTTTTT